TGTGTGTGCGTGTGCGAGTGTGTAACCCTCTCCTCCCTCTTCTACCACGGATCTTGACCAATCACGTGCGGCTTTAACCGAAAGGGGGAAAAAACAGGAGGAAAAAAAAAAGTCGGCTCCCATTAAAGCGGCTCCCTCTTAGGAGCCGGCTCATGTCGTTCACTTCAAAGAGCCGGCTCTAAGAGCCGGCTCGTTCGCGAACGACACATCACTACTACGAAACCATTAGTCAAACGCCGTCATGTCTTCTGTCGTTATTACACAAACAAAAATCTCTTTACTGTTACTAGTGTCCGTGCCTCAATATGGCTACGCTCGTGAAAGCAATACAACGAACTCAAACGCGTCTTCGTTCAATGTTGTCAACTAATATCCGGATTAATTTTATGCAAATTTTCCTCAATTCTCTGGGGAAATTTTCATAAAATTTTGAAAAACCCGGAATTCCGGGAAAATCCGGAGGACTTTCATCTCTGAACGTGAAAAAAATGTTATTGCAAACAGATTTTATTCATCTCCATCGCCAATACAATATCGATATTTGACACGTTATACAGTACTGGACTGATGTCAACACGGAAAAAACATGTCATTGGAAATCGGGACATAATGTCGATATCTTGCACTCTGTACTAAGGATTTATCGTAAATGATAACGATACAGAAATTGTAGTATTGGTGCCAAAATATTGCGAGTTATAAGCTAATAAATGTCACGCCGACAAGTCAAGCACACGTTATTTTCGCGACTTTTGCCAACTTTCTCTATGTCCCTCGCCAAAATTAGCATCATTCAAATCTTCCATACGACATTTGAACGTCTCATTACGCGTTTACAGATAAAACCGACGTACGCAGCCAACACCCACGTTCTCATTGGAGTTCAGCAATTACTTTTTCCATCTAGTGCTTGAAAAACAAGCCAGACAAAGCGTCTCCAAAACAAGCCAGTTAACGTCTCCTCCCCTTGCCGGTTCCGAGATGCCCGCTGACTGGGAAGTGGCGTCCTTGCCATTTAGCCGGTAATTAGCACAGAATGAGGAAAAGGGCGAGCTTCAAAAAAGGCAATTAAGCAACAACAACAACAACAAAAAGGTAATAAATGATGACAGCTAACTTGCTGCTTTTGGAGTCTTAAAACCTTCGCAGCACTAGTCATTAAATTGTGTGTCTGAAGGAGGGGCGTTGAAAGTGTTGCGATAATCCGCCGCTAACTGGGTATTAACATTTGAAGTCCGACGATGGCAATTCCGAAATGTTTTCTTTTAGAAAAGAACAAGAACTATGTTTTGCCTCCAAATGCTTTAAGACCCTATCTGTGCTTGAGCGGCAACCAGCTGGAATGGAGGCACCGGTCTACCTGCGATCCTGAACTCGAAAAGTGGTGGAAGAATATGGATGAATAATAATTGTTAGAATTAAAAAAAAAAAAAAAAAAAAAAAAGTTGATCAAATTAAGCATGAATAAGTAAAAGTGCTGCATGTTACTATGCTGCTATTTTTTTAATTAAGTAAAAAATAATTAAAATATACTAATTAATAACAATTACTCAAAATGTTGCAATGTTGTTTGTTTTATATCTTTTTATAAATTCCAATCAATATATTTTATCACACAATAGCAAATATGATACAGAAAAAATGAAAAGTAGGCGAAATTGTACACAAAACAATTAAAAGGATAAAAACATTGCTTTTCAATGATATTAAACGATGTACGATTCTTTTGTATGTTAAAATAAAAATATATTTTATTGTGATCCTACAAAAAAGTGAGTTAAAATACCATCTTCATTGTATTATATATCATAAAGTATAGAAGTTTTATTTGTATTATCTACTGTATGTAATTTTAAGCATAAAATCTTCAGTATTATATATTATCGTTATTATGTAATGTTGTTAATAGTGTAATATTTAGAATATTTTTTATGTATTTTTGCAATGACAAAAAAGAATCTAGTGATAATTTTATCTGCTCAAAGGTTCACATTTTTTTAATTACTTATTTGCAAAATCAACAGAACAATAATATAAAGTTTTCTGAGGATTGTTTATGGGAAAACTTTGTGAAAGTTCATCATTCTCGTCTGACCGACTTGCACCTTTATCAACCACTGGTCACGTCCCATTTCCCGGCGTTGAGATGAATCCCTCTCAGTCGGGATCGGGGCATGCAGCTGCTTCTTCTCCGCCTCGCTGGAGTCGCAGTAGCAGAGATAAAAGCGAGCCGGATTAAATTTTCCCTTCCATATCGTCTCCTGGCAGGGGCCCAATCAATCTCTTTGTGTTAAATGACTTATTAATGAAGCCGCTCTTGGGCTAATACACACACAAACACTCACACGCAAACACACAAATAATTTATTACAGTAGAACCTTTAAAGTTCACCCAGGAGGAAATGCAATTTGGAATTCCAACATTTGTAGAAATATGCTTTTTCTTTGTCTTTTTTTTTGTAACATATGTATGAACAGTTTAAACAAGGCCTGCCTTATTATCAGCACTGTGTACTGACAGGGACCCCATGTAGGTTGAAATCTCATCCGAACCCACAAGTGAAACCATCAGGTCAGTGTTTCTGTGGGGACATTGACCCTAAAGATGCACGAATTGTGGGGGGCCCCCTGGTCTCCTCAAAAGAAAGCTGTGGATTGAATGTCATCCAGTATCTGATTCTCATCATCCCTCTAAATCTGTTACCTCTCTTGAGACTCATCTACTAACTGCTTTTTCATCATTTTGGTGTGATGCTTGTACATATTCACTCTCATCTAATGTAAGGAAAACTCAAAAGATTCACACCTCAGTGTCAGCCGTCTGTGGAGTATATGTGATCACTAAATATTAAAAGTTTATCTTTG